AATGGAAATATTAAATGAAATGATAAACTGAGCATAATACCTGGCACATGGTATTACATAGTACATGCTATATAGCTATAAACATTTAGTATAAATACTTTACAAACTGGAATCAAACTATATATACAATTTTTTTTAAAACATAGTTTACTATACATGTAAATCATGCTTTAGTATTTTGGAAAGTATGTAATTTTAATTAATAAGTGAAAACAATCACAAATTCCTTTAGTTTTTTTTTTTTTTTTTTTTAGCATTTATTTATTTCTGAGAGGAAGAGAGAGAGAGAGAGACAGAGCATGAGAAGGGGAGGGGCAGAAAGAGAGGGGGACACAGAATCTGAAGCAGGTTCCAGGCTCTGGGCTGTCAGCACAGAGGCCGATATGGAGCTCGAAGTCTTGAGTCCTGAGATCATGACCTGAGCCAATGTCAGATGCTTAACTGACTGAGCCACCCAGGTAGGTGCCCTTTGGTTTTATCTTGCAAAATACTTTCTAATTTTGGCAGTGGCATCTGGTTGCTTATGTACTGTTTTTTAAAAAGTTTTACTGAGATATAATTCACCTACCAAATAATCTACACAGGTGAAGTATTAAGCGGTTTTTAGTATATTCGCAGATATATGCAACTATCACCACAATTTTAGAACATTTTATTACCTCAGAAAGAAACCTCTTTAGGTATCACCCCCATAACGCAGCCCTAACCAACCACAAGTCTACTTTCCATCTCTGTAGACTTCCTGTTTCTGGACATATTAATGGAATAATGCAATATGTGGTCTTTTGTGACTGGCTTCTTCACTTAGTATAATGTTGTCAAGGGTCACTCATGTTGTTAGCATATGTCAGTATCTCATTCCTTTTTATGGTTGACTAATACTCTACTATATGTATATACCACATTTTGTTAACCATTTGTCAGTTGATGGACATTGGCTGTTTCTACCTTTTGGCTATTTTTAATAATGCTGCTATAGATGCTTGGGTACAAGTTTTTGTGTGGACATACGTTTTTGTTTCTTTTGGGTATATACTTGACCCTTGAACAACACAGGTTTGAACTACATGGTTCACTGATGCACAGATTTTTTTTCCCATAAATTCTTTGGGAAATTTTTTATAGATTTGTGACAATTTTAAAAAACTCATACATGAGGCACCTGGGTGGCTCACTCAGTTGGTTAAGCATCTGACTCTTGATCTTGGCTCAGGTCATGACCTCACAGTTCAGGAGTTCGAGCCCTGCATCAGGCTTTGCACTGACAGTGCATAACCTGCCTGGGATTCTCTCTCTCTCCTCCCTCTCTGCCCCTTCCCTGCTCACACCCTCTCTCTCTTAAAAAATAAACTTGAAAAAAAAACCACAAAAACTTGCACATGAAATGCATAGCCTAGAAATACTGAGAAAAAGAAAAAGCTAGCTACTACTGTAAGAATATAGTATATAACGAATACAACATAAAAAATATATTAATCAATTTTTCATGTTGTTGGTAAGGCTTCTGGCCAACAGTAGGCTGTAGTTTAAATTCTGGGGAGTCAAAGTTATAAACAGATTTTTAGTTGTATGGTGGTTGGCACCCCAACCCCTGTTCAAGGGGTTCAACTATATACCTAGGAATGGAATTTCTGAGTTATATGGTAAGTGTGTTTAACTTTTTGAGGAACTGCCAGACTGTTTTCCAAAATGGCTACACCATTTTACATTCCCACCAGCAATATAGGAGGTTTCCAATTATTCCATATCCTCACCAACACTTGTTATCTGACTTATCCATTCTAGTGGATGCAAAATGTTATCTCTTTAGGGTTTTACTTAGAGTGGAAATTAGTGAAACAGAGAATACATAAACAATTGAGAAAAATCAATAAAACCAAAAGGTGATTCTTTGAAAAGATCAACAAATGAATATTTAGCTAGACTGACCAAGAAAAAGATTAAAATTACTACAATCAGAAATGAAGAGGAATTGCTACTGAACTTACAGAAATAAAAATGATTATAAAGGAATACTGTAAACAACTGTATGCCAACATATTAGATAACAGATGAAATGAACAAATTCTCAAAAAGACAAACTATTGAAATGGACTTGAGTAGAAATAGACAGTATGAATAGACCTATAATAAGTGAAAAAGACTGAACTAGTAACCAAAAAACTACCTGCAAAGAAAAGCCCAAGTCCAGATGGCTTCATTGCTGAGTTCTACCAGACATTTAAAAAAGAATTAAAACTAATTCTTCATAGACAATTCCAAAAGACAGAGAAGTCACACAGTCTGACAGGGTCAGGATTCAAATCTAGCCATCTGACTCTAGAGTCTACAGTTTTGACAACTATATTAAACTGTCTCTCTGAATAACTGAGTAAATTTGAGAACATTATAAACCATCAAGCTGTTACTTTGTATTCTCCAACTTTCGTAGTTAACCTTGGTATTTGTGACTTATCTGGTCTATAGAGAAAAAGGTGATCTACGGACTTGACATAATCATTTACATGACTGACAATGTTGCTGTATTGCATTTACGGAGCAAAAGCATGGCACCTACTAAAGCTCTTTATACGTTTTTATTTCAATGACTTCTCACAACAATCCCATGAGATAGACAGGTTATTATTATTCCCATTTTCTATTTGAGGAAACTGAGGAACAAGGCAGTCACCCAGAGAGCAAATAGAAAGGCTTGAATTTAAATCCCAGTCTGTCTGGTCCCTGTAGGTCCTCTTTTCTACTATGGAAAGCCTGTCCTTTCCTATGCACTCCTCTAGCATGGTCTGTCTCATGCCTGACCCCTATGACACAGGGCCCTTGTAAGTAGACAACCCCCACTTATTTACTCACCTGTGTGCCCTCTCTGGCCCACAGGCAGAGAAGGGGTGTGCTCCCTCATTGTCTACTGATCGTATAAACAACTATCCAAAAGTGACTGTTAATAACTCAATTTAGATACTTCACTCCCACTCAATTACTACTTAGTACTGAAATGATGGAACTGTAGGCTCTCTTACTGTTTTAGAACATCTAATATTATAGATAGTTATTATATCTAGTTTAAAGTTATTAAGCTCAAAATTTCAAAGAACACAATACACATACTTATCCACTAAACTAACTGCAAAGAAATCTAGGGAATATTTTAAATAAGATTGCTTTTGTGCTCCAAAGGAAGAATGCCTTCTATTATTTTGGAAGTGTCCTAAAAATGCACATTTTTTGCCATGGGAAATAATAGTTGCACTAATATATGAAATTCCATTTCCTTAAGGAAATAAGGTATCTGACAGAAAATTTTAGCTAGCAAAGTTTCTGATCACATACACTATTGGTTACTATAGATTACTACTGTAAATTCCTATACTAATCTCTTCCCCTAAAGAATTAATGATTCTCCTAGTAATCCATACATCAGTCTCCAAAACAGCTGGAAACTGTATCAAATGCAAAATAACCCTATTTGAAAAACCAACATAATGATTTCCAGGCTAATTATTCCTACTATAAACTAAAGCAACAAATAAACACAGGCATTTTAAACCTAATACTTCCACAGCTCTAATAACCCTTTCAAAAATATAATATTAAAAAATTTATGAAATCTATCTGCTTTCATCTTCAGTGAATATTAATCATTATTTACTGGGGGAATATGGCCCTTAAAGTTAATGGTTGATCCAAAATTTAGAAAATCTGCTCACCATTTTTATTGGTTTAAACTGGAATGTGTGTACTTACTTTTTATCTTTTTAAATTCTTTCTTTAAGTGCTCATTTTTTGGTAAATTTGTATTTTTGCCTTAGAGATATGAATATTGGTTCAAAAGTACAAATCTGAATCCTTCTAATAGTTCCTGGTTACAGTATGATGCATGATTTACTGAAGGAACTCTGGAAGAAGTGAAATAGAACTAGATCAGTGTAGCCTTGGCCAATCGCTTCTGTCGTTGAGCCTTGGTTTCCTCACCTATGAAATGGGAATAATGATCATACCAACTTTAAACGGTTGTTGCATGGACTAAAGCCCTTGCACAGGCCTGGTCCAGAGTGAAAAGATTTGGCCCAACTTTTCTCCTTTACACCTCAAGTTGCCCGAACATACCAGCTATTTCATGTCACTGTCCTGACGTGATACAGGTTTCTGACTTAGGATGCCCTCCCCAGTATCAGCTGCAGAGTTCTTCATCCCACTTCTTTGGGTCTGATAAATGTTTACATGTTATTCAACACCCCCTCCAGGATCACCTTCCTCACATGGAGTTACACTTCTCACCCTGATTTTCAATTACTCCTTCACTAGGCTCTGAGACCGCTATAGGAGGACCAATGGCTCATTTACCTCCAGATTTCTCAGCACTTCCCCAAATCCCTAGCACGTGGTAGTTGGTCAATAATGACTGCAAATTGCACTGAACTGGGTTTTCTACCATATCACAGTATTAACAAAGTATCAAGTATGCAAGAAACTAAGACAGAGGCTTGGAGTTAAAACTATAATCACAAGTTTGATTAACTACTGGATTCTTTTTGTTTCTGGTTTAAGGTAAGCTTTTTTTTTTTTTTTTAAGTGTATTCATTTATTTTGAGAGAGAAAGAGAGAGACAGCACAAGCAGGGGAAGGGCAGAGAGAAAGAATCCCAAGCAGGCTCTGCACTGACAGTGCAGAGCCTGACACAGGGTTTGAATTCACAAACCGCGAGATCATGATCTAAGCCAAAATCAAGAGATGGACACTTAACTGAGTCACCCAGGTGCCTCTTAAGGTAAACTTTTTAAAAGTCACCTTATTGTATGCAGCTAGGCCACCCTCCTCATGTAAAGAAATGTTAGGAGTAAATGTTCTTGTCGTCTTTTTTTTTCTTCCATGGCAGCATCCTGCTTTGGTTTTGGACTTCATGCTGACTTCATTGGGACTGTTTTCAAACAACAGAGGACACGGATGTACTTTTCCTTTCAAAAGCAAGGGTGCCAGCTATTGTGCTAGCCCCTGTCACTCACCTCAGCCACCTGCTGGGTCCCCACTCTGTGCTGAACCAGCCCCTCCATATTTGTAGCCATGGTGAAGCAAGATCATTAGAGAACCTGTTTGGAAAGATGCAGCAACTTCTATCAGGTGGGGAGAAACCAGGCTACTTGAAAAATATCAGAAATCAAAACTCATCTTTGGTAGTGTCTTGTGCAGATTCTACCCTCTATAGAAGACACAGTTACTAGGCTAAGCATATCTGGATATGCTGCACCAGCTTCTTCAATTACAGGTACCAAAATCAATTAGCAGAAACATTTCAATTTGGAAACAAGACTTCCCCTGGAATTATCAAGACCCTTGGGTTGTAACAGCTTGGTTCACCTCTCAGGGGGGTGGGAATCACACCTTTTTGGATAGCTCCCAGTCACATTATGCTGAAAAAGAAGGTGGCTATCTGAGAAAGGTGTGAGATCAACCTTAGATACAGAGCACTAGATTGCTATCCTCAACTATACTTCTGTTACCAGCGGCAATGTGAGGAGCAAAACCCTGTCCAGGTGCTAACACACCTCACAGGTTGAAAGGCAAACACCAGCACTAGCAAAGAAGTAAGGAGACTACATTACTAAAGTGGGCTAAGAACATGGTACCCATAAATACATCAATTTATGTTTCAAAGTCCTCATTAATTTAGAAAACGAGATATTTCAGCTTTTTATTAATAGAAAAAATAGTGCCCTCATTTGTAAAAATTGAGGAAAAGCATCTATAGACCAAAAAGTGTGCTGGTCTCCTGGGTCAGGATCAATTGAATGCAAAGCACTATTAATGAAACAGCCCCCACCCCCTCCCCCCGCCTGGTGTCTTTAGGTCTAAAGACACAGCTCCCCTAAATAGTCCCTAAACCCCATTCCAATAAGTCTTCCACAAGAATTCAGGATAAAGAGATCCACTTTGGATCTAATTCCTGGACAAATCAGAAAGACTTTATTATTGAATGCACAGGTCTCATGGTGAATAGGAGAAAAAAAGCTCTTGTGTAATTTTTATATAATTTATTTCCAGCAATACATATAAAACTATATAGAACCACATGAAGTGTGTTATATACACAAATGCATACACAGTCCATTTGCTTGGCCCTCCCTCAATCATAAACTGGACAATGCAATTTTATAAAACACTTTCCAGTAGTTCTTAACTAAAGTATTTCAAGCACTGATCTCTTTGAAACTTTTTTACTCTCTGGTAACTTTCCATATTATTCTATCTACTATTAAATATCCACATCTATTATCATTAATTCTCTTTCAGATTATTTTATTGCCAAAATGGCAATGAGAAAGAAATGGAGGCATCAAACTGTGACTGACAAACATAAAAGAACTGGCCCCTGCCTCCAAAGAGTCAAAATCCTGTGAGAGCACATACTGTACCACCTGCTACAATGATACCAGGTCACCAGTGTCAGTGATTCAGAAGAACGCTCTGGTCTTTTTTCCCAGTTATTGTTTGGTTCCAACTAACAGGAAAGGAAGAAAAATGCATCACTTCACGGGTACCAGAAAATCTACTGACTATTATTAAAAACACAATTATTGGGGCACCTGGGTGGCTCAAGAGGTTTAAGCTTTTGACTTCTGCTCAGGTCATGATCTCAGGTTCCTAAGTTGAGCCCTTCATCGGGCTGTTTCCTGTCAGTGTAGATCCTAGAGCCTGCTTTAGATCCTCTGTCCCCCTCCTCTCTCTTTGCCCCTGCCCTGCTTGCGGGCTCTCTCTCCTTCTCAAAAACAAAAACAAAAACAAACAAAACCCCACAATTATTGCATGTGAAAAGTCTAGAGTTCTAATCTTTCTTCTCAAAACAGTAAATAAGAACTCTCTGAGGAATCAAATGGATAAATAACCAATAGGTATTTTATATTAAGAAATAAAATCCAAACATGCAGATGTAACTATTAATTTAATCACTTTTAGGATTGTTAGAATTTCTGTTGCTGTTATTGATGCAGTTTGATACAAGAAATATATGAATTTGAATATTATAGAAATATTGTTAGGCAAATATTATTGAGTAGTATAGAAATAAAAAATACTAGAAAGGTGTAACTTTCTATTGGGTTTCCCTAAAAGAGGTAGCTTGATCCTTTAAGTTTTGAGCTGAAGTGGATTTTATAGATGACTGCCTGATGGAGACTTTGTAACTCAGAAAACTTTCTGTAATGACTCAACTTTAACATTAAATTTGCAGGACCAATTAGTCTCAGATAAGGCTGGGGGAGAGGGAGCTGTCCCAAGATACTGCTAATGACCAGTGATTATAGATATTAGGTCATAGAGAAGTAGTAGTTAACCTGTTTAGCTTAGAAAAAGTAAATATTCTGGATATTCTAAATATTAAACTAAACATCTCCTACCCTGTGGCATGTTTGTTTACTTTCTTTATGCTGTCTTTTGATGAATGGAAGTTCCTAAATTTAATAAGGTTGAATTTATCAATATTTATTTTACAGGTTGTACTTTTATGTTTTATTTATGAAAATCCTGTCCTACCCTAGGGTCATAAGTATAACTTTATGTATTTCTTATAAATGTTTAGGAGTTTTGTCTCTGTCCCTCACATATAAGTCCTCAATCTACGTGAAATGGATTCTTGAGCTTGGTGAGAAGGATCCAATTAATTTTCTTCCTGTGCGGATAGTCAATTTTCCAGCACCATTTTTGAACAATCTTTTTCCCTACTAATCTGTAATGCCACCTCTGCCATATCTCAGGCTACCCTATACATGTGGCTATAATTCTAAGTTCTCCATTCTGTTCCACTACTGTTCTACTATCTTTCTCCACATGCCACTACCATTATCTTATTACTGCAGCTTTCTGAGAAGTCTTGCTCTCTGTTAGGGCAAGTGTCCCCGACCTTGCCGTCTTCTCCCACACATCAACTTCCTAGATCATCTCAAGCACTCAAAACCAGAGCAGCAACCTTTCTTTACACATTTGGAATTCTTACAATTCTTGATCTCACTGTTGGTTTTCTTCCTCCAAAACAATGTCAGGCATCATCAAACAGCAGCTTTCCAAGCTGCTTAAAAATGAACAAGGACGAAAGTGCACCTTCTGGAAAAACAAGCAGAAACAAAGAGTAGGAGAGAGAAAATGAAAGAGAAACTATGAAAAGCAAGGGCTTTCTTTAAAAAAAAAAAAATTTTTTTAACGTTTATTTATTTTTGAGACAGAGAGAGACAGAGCATGAACGGGGGAGGGTCAGAGAGAGGGAGACACAGAATCTGAAACAGGCTCCAGGCTCTGAGCTGTCAGCACAGAGCCGACGCGGGGCTCGAACTCACGGACTGCAAGATCATGACCTGAGCCGAAGTCGGCCGCTTAACCGACTGAGCCACCCAGGCGCCCCGCAAGGGCTTTCAAAAAAGATTTAAATTCACTAAGAACAGGTAAGTGGAAAGGTTATTTCAGAAAAATATTTTCCATTTCATCATTTTTGAAAATATGTTGTAACAAACCATAGCCTATCCTCACATATAAGTAAGAAAGATACAGAGGCTTCTTTCTCCAGGATATCACAATGTTAAGTAAAACAAAATCCTCAGGCAATGTCAAGCAGTGAGAGAAAACATTAAATCAGGTGTACCCCAGATAATATCAGGGTAAGACTCTCACCTGAGAGCTTTTCTCACTGCTACCTCAGCCATAGGCAGTCCTAGAGACAGAAAGATCACAGTGAGAAGGAAGGGTAGAGAGTTTTGGAAAGGGTCATCAATTAGGGGTGTCTCCCTAGAATGAGAAGCTCCAGGAAAACAGTCAGTTGTGTCTACATGTAGTTTGAAAAACCATACTCACTAGCACAATATAAATTTGCATTTGATCTGGAAAAAAAAAAAAAAGAACAATTTATCGTTTTGATACCACAAATCAGACAAAGTATCAACAACCTTCTTGGCTGGTGGAGCGCACAGTAAACATGGTAATACTCATAGTAAGTAACACTTATTGAGTGGTTACTATACTCCAGGCACTGCAATAACCACTGCAGACAAAACACTAAAGTAGCTCTTTGTACAGGAACCTGAGGTCTAAAAAGGGTGGAGCCCAACCCGCTCAAGTCCCTAACCCTTGAAGATTGCCCACATGCACAATAATGCTTCTGAAAAAAGAATCTGATTAGTTGCCAAAAGAGTTATAAGAGCAAGTATCTCTAGTAAAAAAAAAAAAAAAAAAAAAAAAAAAAAAAAAAAAAAAAAAAAAGCTGCTACAGTAAATTTTTCTATGTTGGTTTTAAATTAATCAAATGCAAGACCATCAACCTTTGAAAGCAACTGCTCTGAAGTGGCAATGGACTAATTGCTGAAGATTAATAATAAGAACAATAAGAAGAATAAGAAGAAAAAGAGGAAGAGGAGGAGGAGGAGCAGTCCTTGCCCCTGAAGAACTTAAGCAGGAAACTGTAATAGCTCTGCAATTTAAATGCTACAATGAATGTCCAAAGGAAAAAGCATCTCCCTCTGCCTATGGGAGCCAATGACAGTTTTAAAGGAGAAGAAGCTAGTTAAACTGGGTCTTGAGTGAAGAATGGAAATTTAGTAAGAAAAGAATGGGGTGACAGGGGGAGAGTTCTAAGCAGAAGGGACGGCTCATACAAACTGGCAGGTATGAAGGAGAATGGCATATTCAAGGAACAGCAGGCAATCTGGTGGGAAACTGCTGGAGAGATCAGGGGAGGCGAAAGGCTGACACTGCAGACAACAGACAACAACCAGAGGTTTGTCAGAGAAATGAAGTGATCACATCTGGATTTTCGAAAGAACAAAAACAAACAAAAACAAAACCCGAAAAACCTTTGAGCAACAGTGTGGAGAAATGATAGAAAAGGAGAGGCTGTACATGGAAGGGAAGTTAGAAAGTGGTGGCAGCAAGGCCAGGGATGAAGGTAGAGCCTCTTAAACTTAACTTGAACTACAGAGTTTTTCTTGTATAGCACATAAATGACAACAGGGCACAATATATAAAAATTGATACAGACCCCAGAATGATGAAGTAAAACTATTATTGGTTGGTCTTATGTGATGTT